GGGGGGCACCGCCTCACCTCGCGCCGAGCGTCACCGCAGCAAGTGACTGTTGTGCTGGCAAAAAAAGAAGCTCTATCTGATAAATTAATCTGATGCTTTTGGCTAGGCTTGTGGTACGTGACATTACATACACTGTAAATTTTTCAACTGGTACAGTATTTGACAGAGATCATCTGATTAAATTTGGAACAAGGAAAATTTGTTAAGATGAGATTGCGTATAATTTGTCATTTGCCTCTGACAGTAAATAAATATGTCTAATTTTACCAGAATTTGATTATTAATGGAAAGATTTTTGGAGTCACGCAGACAGACGTTTTGTCGAATATATGATGCAATAGTTGTCATTTAGGAAAGATGCAACTAAATCTTTATCAAGACTCTCGTTTCAACCTGAAAGTCGCAGGCCCTTTGCCAGAATATCATCTAGGAGCAGGCCATATGTGGCACTCCTTGTCTACTTGCAGGTGAATCGCTATTTCCCGGATGGAAGGATCTGCACTCGATACTGCACTTGTAAACTGTAGTTCAACTGCAGTTTAACTTTAGATTGACACAGTACGAGTAGAAACTGTAGTTAGGTCTACAGTTTTGCATTAGATCCTTCCACCCGGGTTCAAATTGCCGATGTGCCACTCTGCCTCTTATGAAAGTCGCTTTTGATGGAGGACCTGCGAGTCGTTTCTATGTGCTAACCGAAGTGCTAACGCGACCGGGTCAACGCGGGGTTGTCCTTCCAAGGACTTCCCTCCTGCCCGCCCCCGCTTCCCCCCGTGCATATCGACCTGCTCGGAGGGCGGCCCTGGGCGGCAGACGCGCCGGCGCCAGGGCCGGATCCAGCTGCAAGCGGGCAGCGCCGGCCGGGGCGAGGCCACCCTGTGCGGTACCGAGACGCGCAGGCATATAGTAAAATGAGCATTTTGTAAGAGACCGTTTCCCCGGAGCGGCCATCATTTGTGGCGTGCGGTGGTGGTGCGGACAGGAAGGGCAGGGCACGCTCGCGCTGCTCGGGGAAAGTTGGGGAAACTCCTCATTTTGCACCCCCTGCTCGTCTTTCCGCTGCTGCTCGTCACTCTGATTCTGCTTGGCACTCTGCTCGGCACTCTGCTCGGCTTGTAGCGGGGGCTGAAGACCTACTGCCACCTCCTCCTCTGCCTTTTGGTTCCCGTGGATCGTCCCGCGCGGGCAAAAGGTACGACGCCCCGCGCGACCTTGTACGTGCCTCGTACGTGCCCCCTACGTGCCCCCCCGCGTGCGCGCGCGCGCCCGTCGCTGTGACGTGCCACTTACTGTGCCGCACACATTATTCGCACGACGCCCGTCCCGAGTCCCGACTCGCTCGGCTCGACTTGACTGAATTGGCCCGGGTTTCCTTGGGAGGAACCAGTCGGCCGGGTAAAAAGGGATACGCAATTACTGACTGGAGACTAGGGGGCGACCGGGGGCGACCAACCGTTGCACCCGCCGGAAATCCAAGTGTACGAATTAACACACCAGTAGGTATGTGACTTCGAAAATCGTTTTATTTTTCAACTCTTTTGGGGATGTTAAACGATTTCAAACGAGAAATCACTTAAGACGGACACTTAGGTCTTGTCGGTTACTTATGAGGCTTGTGGCACAAGGAATTTAGCTTGTTCTGAAAAATTACCCTCATTTCCTTGCTGGTTTAGCTAGGTGGCCGAGCTCGGATGCTGAGCAGAGCACCCGTGGATGTGGACCACTTACTTGTGCCCGTGCAGCAACAGCTAGGCGCCTGCCTCTGACGTCAGTGAGGCTCGCCACGAGCCCGACGCGTGCGTGCATTTGCTTTTAATCGGCCCGTGCATCGGTTTCTTTAGAAGGTCACTGACGCATTTATCCAAATGGCGAGTTTTAAAGTGCAAGGTGTTTGAACAGAGAACAAGGCAAAGACGCGGAACGCGGAAGCGAATATTTCTCTCTCACACACAGATTGTTGTATTTCGTGAATCAACGAAATTCCTCTGAAAGAAATTTGTGACTTCATTTCACAGTCGGGGATGTTGAAAAACGCAAAACCATTCATTAGATCAAATAAGAGTCCGACGTTATTGAAGACGAACAAAAATGTACCTTAAAATAAAATAAAAAAACTACTTTGGCCGTGGTCAGGGATAATTCCTGATTCCTGTGATTCAAAGAAAATTGTTTCCGGGTGCAAATTTGGAAAATGTTTATGATTCATTTGGCTTGCAGGTCAGCTGCAAGAGGGCCCTGAACTTGAATTTTGCCGATGACAGTAAAGCTTCCGACCGGAGCTCACCTGCGGCACCTCGACGTGTTTTTGTGTGTTCTGACCGGTCAGACGGGGCGCGGACGGGGCGCGACGGGGGGCGCTGCCCTCGTGTGCGATGATCTGCACATGCGGCTGCTGCTGCTTCAGACTTTTAAAAAAAATTGTCTTAAAAATGAGAATACCATGACTAATATTGAATATTGATGACAAGCGTCATGCGTCATGGATTTCTTTCTTACTCTCTCGTGTAACTGGTGAATGGGAGTGACACGGGGTGACAAAAGAAACAAAAACAATTAACTTGTCACTGAGGTCGTGCTTATAACAGTGATATTTTAATTTTTGAGACTATTTTGTTTGAACGGTGCTCTGCTCCGTTTAAATTCCGAGGTCTAATTGCCCCCTTCCCTCTCCTCTTCTTAGTTTTCTTGCACGTCGATGGCTGTATTTCCGTTGTCCCCGACTCGGCATAGGTTTCAACAGGTTTCGGGCGCCGTTCGCCTCTCCCCGCGAAGTTGGGTTTACTTTGGCTACCGCTATAGAGTGTCTCTCACAGGCTGAGTGTGTTTTGGGGAAGATGCCAGTCAAACGAGTTATTACGATGCAAAAAGATGGAAACAGACTTGACAATTTGACATTTTATTGTGTAAATTTTGACCAAAACTACACTGGAAAAAACGAAGGTAGGAATCAGCATCGTTCTTGGTATGCTAATGGACTAGTGCCTTTGCAGAAGCACTAAAAGATTGTCACTCCTGGACACTAAAATGAACCAAAGTTGCTAAAACTTAGTACCTTTGGATAATTTCGTGCCTGTGTAAAGGCGTTGAAACTTAGCACATTTGTTTCCCAGTATATAGGGAATAATTGACAAATTAATCAGTAATTCGTGCTGTGGAGAATTCTAACATTTTGACTGACAAAAAAATCAGTACATAGGCCTGAGTGGGAGACGGAAAAGTGGCGTGGAAGTCGCGGCCCAGAGAAAAAAGTTTTTTCTCGTCGACGGCAAACAGAACTTGTGTATTATTCCAGAGTAGTCCAGTCCCAGTCCAGAGCTGCCGCGAGCCTCTCTTTTTCCTGCTCAACACACACCGCCGGTCCCAAGGGCGTCCCCGGCCCGGAATCACGACCCGACTCCGCAAAGTCTTCCCGCGCGGTTTGCCCAACACGCAGTTCGTAAAAACGAAAAAAAAGGGGCCTTAAAAAATGATTAAACTGCTTACTTTCCGTTTGAATTAGTTTCATCAGTCAAAATTATTCAAAATAATACGACATACACAGCAAAGTTAAATTTTCCTTCTCTATTTTTCCCAGCTGTTTGAAAGGAAAATGACACTTCCAAATGAATGCTTTTCCTTATCTCTGCTGTGACTTATCTCATTGAAGTGGTCGTATTCACGTTCTCTAATTGCGACGCGAGTGTTGTTGCGATGCTGCTGCTACTGCTACTGCAGCTAGCGGCACGCGGCGGCGAGAGGTTTCGCCACGAGCCTCTCTGCAGGGCCAGGCCAGGCCGGGCCAGGCCCCTCCTCGCTATCTGGATATCGCCATCGCCTAGACTCGCCGCGGCAAGCGTTGGGCGGCTAGGCCGGCCACCCGGCCAGAGCGCTGCGGCCGCGCCGAGCGGTGCTTGCGCAAAACGTCCTGCCTGCGCTCCCGTGACCTGCTGCTGGAGCACCGTATGTGTATCATTGCGAGGCGTCAAACTACATGTCCTTTCGCTCTTTAAATAAAGATGTTATTTTTCGCATCTCCAAGAGTCGCACGGCTGTCTAGTCTTGTGTAAAGACGCGACGCAATGCCCAAGTGCCACGGCTCGCACGCACCACTCGCACCCTCTGGCGCCGCTTCTAATGAAGCGCTGTCAAAAGTGTTCCGTGGGAAAGTGAGGAAAGAGGGGGGGGGGGGAGTGCACGGCATGTCGCCGTCGTGGACTTTGTGCGACAATGACACTCCATCGCAAAGTCAAAAGATAATAACATATAGTCGCGGCGTTGCGTGCGGCTACTGATAGCGCAGGGACACACGGGGGCCGGAGGGCTTTTGCGCGTTGCCCGGGGCCTGGCTGCCCTGCCCAGGCCTTGCCCTCTGCCTGCTACGGCGGTCGCGGCGAGTGGTTCACTGAGAGTGAAGAGGGGGGTATAATCGCCCTGCCCCGCCCCGCCCACCTGACCCGCGGACGCGAGATAAGATTGTCCTGCAGCTGCTCGATCGCCCGCGCACCTACGACGTGTCCGGTGACAGGTGACAGCTCGCCGCGGGTTGAGCCGCGCCCTCTGCTCTGAGCAAAGGTCCAGGTCCAGAGGGCGGGGCGGGGCGGGGCGGGGCGGGCACGCCGGACCTTCACCTGGTTACAAAGCGTATGCCCTCTCTGATCGCTCCCATGACACGGCTGTATCGCACACAATGGCACCATACGGCACACTCGGCTGGGGGTCTGGGGGTGGGTGGGTGTGCCACACGCAGCCGTGCTCGCACACCGCCGGCATGGCCGGTTCTACTCGGGTAGGCAGACCCGGACCGCAAGGCTGCACGTGGGTTGCCTACCTGCACGGCGCTCGGCCGGTAGGCAAGCCGTCTGCCTCCCCCGACTGCATGTGGCTCGGTGTAGCAATCACAACTCGTGCTCTGCCGCATGGCAGTTATTGCCGCC